TTTTTTTTTACTGTTATATTGTTTTTACAATTAGAGAAAATGTTATATCTAAAGTCAAAGAGTCAAGCATCTATTATTCTCACTATCACAGCAAAACATTGAGATTTGAAATAATACAAAATCTATTTAAAAACCCCACAAGTTTTAGAGAATTGTAAGATTACAATTCTTGGAAGAGGGAAGAGGCATCTTGAACACTGGACAGACACAGACTTTGGCTGCAGCCTATCTTGAGCTTGGGTCACAGAGCAGGCCCCATTCCAAGGTGAATTGTTTAAACACAGGAACCTTAGTTACCTCATCTGCAATACCAGGAAAACAAAGCCAACGTTTCAGATTTATTACTAACTGTTTAAAATGTAAAACGCATGGTACATGGGTAGCAGCCAATAAATGTAAGGTTATACTTTTAGAGACCATATGTTACAAAAAAAAAAAAGTAAATAGAAAAAGCATGTGTGTTAATGAGGGTAGGGATGGAACAGAAGGCAAAATACATTGGTGGTGGTGTAGGAGGTTGCTTACCAGGCAGTCGGTTCCGACTCATAATGACCTTGTATAGGGTTTCTGAGGCTATAAATCTTTACAGAAGCAAAAAGTCTCATTTGTCCCCTGTGGAGCAGCTGGTACGTTCAAACTTCTGACTTTTCAGTTAGCAGCCCAACTGGTTGCCTACTGTGCTATCAGCGCGCCTTAAAGTAAATTGTTGTTGTTAAGGGCAGTTGAGTTGGTTCTGACTCATAACGACCCTGTATAGGGTTTCTGACGAGGAGCTGGTGGGTTTGAAATGCCAACCTTGTGGTTCACAGTCCAGTACTGATCCTACAGCACCACACCAAAAGTCCTAAAGTACATTGTTGTTATCGTTGTCGATGTTAAGTGCCATGGAGTTGGTTTCGACTCAGAGCAACACTGTATATATAGGCTTTCTAAGGAGCGGCTGGTGAGTTTGAACTGCCAACCTATGGTTCAAACTGACCTTGCGGTCCAGTGCTTTATCCCACAGCACCACACCAGAACTCCTAAAGTACACTTGTTGTTGTTGTTGTTAAGTACCATTGAATCAGTTCCGACCCATAGCGACCCTGTTATAGAGTTTCCGAGTAGTCACTGGTGAGTTTGAGCTGTCGACTTTGCAGTTCAGCACATTAACCCACATCACCACAACAGGACGCCAGAGTACTTTAGAAGTTATTAAAATTCTATAAATTAAATGCCTGTAATTATATCAATATAATTGTTGTTGTTGTTATGTGCCATGGAGTCTGTTCCGACTCATAGTGACCTTGCACAGGGTTTCCGAGGCTGTAAATCTTTACGTGAGCAAAAAGCCTCATCTGTCTTCCACGGAACAGTTGGTAGTTTCGAACTGCTGACCTTAAGGTTCGCAGCCCGATTTGTAACCAGTATGCTACCAGAGCTCCTTGGGAACAAAAATTTTCACTGAAAGAGAGAAAGAAAAAAAAAAGAGAGAGAAAAAGAAAAATAAAGACGGGAAAACATCCTTATTAGTGTTAAATTTAAATAGGAAATGTCATTATAAACTTTTGATTCGTTATTATATTCCCAGCTCTTTAAAAGTCAGGCAAGCAGTAGCACCGTATAACTATACACCAATGCCCAGCTCTTTGTTTCCGAACACCATTGTCCACTAAAAGGAACCAGTGCTTCTTGGAGAAATGGTGACTTCTAGATCAGAGGCAAAAGCCCAAGCTGAGTCTAAATAGCTTATTGCATCAAACACATGGAGCATTCAAAGACAGGACAAAAGAGCCAGCTTGAAAGAACTGCCACTAGCCAAGCTGGGACAATTTAAACATTGGAAAGTACAATAGCAATATATATTATAATACAATGAATTAAAAATTAAGTCCCTACATTTGTACTTATAGTCACTTCCTCAGCACCCGTAAAATGAGTAAGAGAAAAAAAAAAAAAAAAGCGTTAGGGAAAAAGCTTCTTTTGTTGTTGTTAGCAAATAAAAATGTACTAACCAATAAACGTAGGAGAAATTATAGAAATATCAGTATTTTCAAATAACTATATAATAACGAATTTGAAAAAGGAATATCATGGCTGCTAAAGTAATTGGGTTAAGGTTCCCAGGAAAGGGATATCCACATGGTTTCAAAGTATCATCCCACAAATTATCTATTGTTTTCTGGTTAGATGCCATCAAGTCAATCTTGACTCATAGTGACCTCATATGACAGGGCAGAACTTCCCCAAAGGGTGCCCAGGGTACTCTTTATGGGAGCAGAGTACCAGGTTTTCTCTGGTAAAACTACTTAGTGGGTTTGAACCACCAAACTTTTACTTAGCTGTGGAGCACTTAACCATTGAGAGCACCTTACAATTTATCTACTAATTTTAAAACCAAAAAAGACAGCATCTTAACCAAGAGAACAAACTTTGCATCATCAATGAGGAAATGAGGAGATGCAACAGGTAGTACAAGACAACCCCTGAGAACAGTCATGAGGAAAAAAATAGGACCTTCAATAAATGAGCTGGTCTGGATTTGAAAAGTCAATGTCACGAATGGTCTGCTCTAAATGTAAAAGACAGAACTACTGAATACACTACAAGAACCTTAACTGGATCCTGGATTTTAAAAAAGGAAAAGACAATGAGCCATTGGGAATGGTAGATGGGTAGGGAGAATTTGGTAAATTTGAATATTGGACTAGATGTTAGATATTTGAAATGACTGCTAACTTTCCTAAGTATAATAATGGTATGGTAATTATGTAGAGAGTGTTATTATTCTTATAAGTTAAAGACTGAAGTATTATAATATTTACCCATTAACACTTAAATGATCCGCCCATAAAAAGGAACTTATGTATACATGTGTTTGTGTCTATAGAAAGAGAGCACAAAATGTTAATAGTTAATTACATGAAGAGTATATACAGTTAGATTTTCAATGCATTATTCTTTCAACTTTTCTGTAGTTTGAAAATTTTTCTATCAAGTTGGAAAAATCATCATCTCAAATATTAAGTTGGATGACTTCTGCTACATGTGAGCTTGATCAGAATTTCTCTACATCCCGAACATTGGATATGTGGAAGTAACGAAATTTCCTTGGAAAAAATGTTTGCCAGAAGGGCTTATCCTCGATGGGCTTCAATGGACTATTACTGTGAAATATACTCTGCCGCTCCCTACATGATCCCAGAGAGACATTGATGAAATAAGGCCTTCTTACATATTACATTTTCCTACAGAGCAAAGAATTCCACATTGGAAGATAGAAAATAGGGGTAACAGGCTTAAAAAAAAAAAAAAACTTCTAACACTGGAACAGAAAGAAGTCATAATCAAACCCTTCTCCAGAAAATCGAAGGATGACTATTTGCCAATTTCCTTCTGTCCTTTGCTTCCCCCAAATCTTCAGAGCCTTTACTTTGCAGGTTATTTTCATGCAAGATGAGATGACAGATGCGAAGTGCTGAGAGCATTTGCTGTGAATGAAGAGCTTTTACTTTGGTTATATTGAAACTAATGCATGGGAAAATCAGACAGAGGCAGGTCCCAACAAAGGGAAGAAGATCAGAGTAGAGAACTCCACTGCAGAATGGTATGCACCTGACAAAGCCAAAGTGCGTGCTGGCAAGCAACAGGGGCAGACGACTAGGTATCCCATAGTGTGTAGAAAGAAGGCTGGTTCTAGTAGTTCATGCTTAGGGTATTGCAGGGAATTCATGTTCATATTAACAAAAATTGAGAACTCAAAGTAGCGTAGTGGTTACGAATCGGGCTGCGAGCCACAAGGTCAGCAGTTCGAAACTACCAGTGGTTCCGTGGGAGAAAGATGAGGCGGTCTGCTCCCGTAAGGATTTACAGCCTCAGAAACACTGTACAGGGTCGATATGAGTCGGAACCAACTCCACGGCACTTAACAACAACAACAACAATAAGTAAAAGCCAAGTGCAATGTTTTACAGCTTTTTAAAAACACCCATTAAAAAATATATATATACGTATATACGCAGAGAAGACTTGTAGAAGATTAAAAAAATCCAAAAGCATTTTGTAAAGTATCCTATCCTATTTAATTCTATATGGCAATCTCTTCTCCAGATTTTGCAGAATGCCTTTCTTGGAGATTTGGAATGATTCTACTATTTTGTCTGTTAGATCTGTATTGTGTAATATAATATATGAGACTTTAAAGATTACAGATGCAGAGGGAAAGATTTGAGAAATTTTAAGTTCACAGAACTTTAATTTATAATGATAATTTTTACAGCTGCCTTAAAAAATACCAACATGTGTATAAGCACTCTAGTGTATCTTCACACTACTGCATTACAGTTTTGTCAAACTATGAACAGTTCTTAAATTTGTCTGAAAAGTTCACATACAGAATCCCCAGCTATAAAACGACCAATGAAGGAAATGTTAAGAGCATTATTTCTAAAGTAATTTATTAGTAGTATTAGATAATTTCCAAATTGTTACAGAGGCTTAGGGCAATATATACACACACATATATTCAATAAAATAATTAAAATAAACATACCCATCTTTGGTCTGATCAACCATACTACTTATAAGTTCCACCGTCTTTGGATTAGGTTGGCTTTCTCCAAAAATGTTCAAATATCGAGTGACAAAGTCATTGGGAGACATGAAAAATTCACCATTTTTTTCAATGCTTGCATACTGTTAAAAAAAAAAAAAAGGGGGAGGGAGGAGAAAGTTGTCTTATAGATTTGATTCTCAAAATTATCTCACTATGGGATCCACATTTGAAAAGCTAAGAATATTCAAAGGATACAATGTCAGATGTAATACGGTGCTCTTCAATTACTCCCCTCACTTCAAAGCAAATGGTAATATTAATTTTGCCCAGTTTTAATTAAGTTAATGTCAGTGGATCTCCAATGAATGAATGCAATCTCCCCCTACCCCCGGGGAATATGTGACACTGTCTGAAGACCATCAGACCTGTCACAATTGGGGATAGGGAGCGGTGCTGCCGGCAACTAGTGGGTAGATGCCAGAGATGTTGCTAAAAACATCCCTCAACACCCAGGACAGCCTGACAAAAAAGAATTATCCATTTCAAAATGTCAATAGCACCCTGGTTTACACAATTTGTAAAGACAAACTATACCTTGTTCTTTAGCAAGGACAGAGAGCTTTTTTAAAAAGTGGAATTAATTATGAATCATGGAGGAAAACGATCTAATTTTTTCATCCCTATTCCTGCTTCAAGGGCATTAATGATACAAGAAACGATGACCAAGTGGCTAAGCAAGAAAGCCACCTATGAACTGCATGGCTTCTTGTGGGGTTTTATAGAAGCCGCTGTTAAATGCTGCTTCAGTGGTGTACTCAGATTCTGTAGTATTATCATGCACAAACAATAAATTAGAATTAAGCCTAGGATACTTCTTCAGTGGTCTTCTAGATTCTGGCTGTTAGTTTGGCACAGTTGAGTTCACACACAATGTTGTTCTTCCAATTCATAGCGATTCTGTGTAGGGTTTCCCAGAAGCAGTTGGTGGGTTTATAGTTAAGCAGTCCAGAACTCCAATAGGGGACCTGCTAATCCTAGGTCAATGAAGCTTTCAGGACTGTGGAAAATGCTGAGAAATCTGGAGATCAAAGGTTGCCCTTATGGAGTAAGAGAGAACCTCTTGTTACTGGGAATAAAGAGTGACTTGGTGGCAGGGGTGAGGACAGCATGACTTGCAAGAGGACCACAGTGAATTTAGGCTCAATGAAGCATCTCCTGTCTCTCTGTAACCCCATGTTGTTACTGCTGTTGTTGTTGTTGTTGTTAAGTGCCATCGAGTCGGTTCGACCCATAGCGACCCTGTACAGGGTTTCCGAGGGTGTAAATCCTTACGGGAGTAGAAAGCCTCATCTTTCTCCCGCGGAGCGGCTGGTAGTTTCGAACTGCTGACCTTAAGGTTCGCAGCCCGATTCGTAACCACTACGCTACCAGAGCTCCTTGTTACTGCTGTTAGGTACTGTCAAGTCAATTTTGGCTCATTGTGACACAATGTGACAGGGCAGAAGTGCCCCATAGGATTTTCTAGGCATTAATTTTCATGGCTTTACTGAGACAGATTGCCTGGTCTTTTTCCCTCAGAATCACTGGGTGGGTGTGAACTGCCGTAGAGCCATTCTGGTCTATAGGACAGGGAAGAACTGCCCCATAGTGTTTCTGAGGCTTAAAATCTTTACAGAAGAAGCTTGCCACACCTCTCTCCCTCTGAGTGGCTTGTGGATTTGAACTACCGTACTTATGGTTAGCAGCTAAATGCTTAACCAATGCATCACACCAAGGCTCTTTAGTTAAACTGAATTTAAAATGCTTTAGAAAGTCACTTGTTATTTCTCAGTTCAATTTCAATATAGCATAGGCTCCTAGTCTGTATGTTACTGTCTCTGTTAGGCATCTCAGCTTTAGCATCTCTCAGGCCTGGGCTGTATGGAGCACTACCTCTTACTAGTTGAGTGACCTTGTATATATCGTAGACTCTCTGGGCCTGTTCCCTCATCTGTAAAATGGGAATAACAACATTACTGCTTCATAATGTTGATGCCAGAAATCAAGGAGACAATCAAGTAATATACAATGCCCTGTATATAGTAAGTCATTTATATGTGTCCTATATTATTGTTCTTAATTAACATTTTTCAACAAAATACAAGAGAAAGGCCCCAAGAAGGTCTAGCAATTCTGCTATTCTTCAGTGCACATTTAGCATTTAATTCGGCCTGTTGGAAACAGAAGAAACAGTATTTTGATTTTTCTAACTGAAGCAAAACAAGCCTGAAATGTAATGGAAATATCACAGCTAATTACAGCAATCCTATGATTTAGACGTAATATGTATATTTGCTTATGGTAGTGAATAATTTATGTAGAAACATAATTTAACTCTTCCCCTGCCATTCGACATTTACAATAATTCCAGTCTGGGGCATTTTCAATGACGCTGAGGAAACCAGCTATGAACATAACATTTGTCCAAATTCCTGGTGATTTTCAAAGGCTAGACTCTTGGAAGTAAAATTGTTGAGTCAAAGGGCAGGAACTTTAAGGCTACCGATGCTTCCTATCACACTGTTCTCCAGAAAATATTGTACCAATTCATGCTCCCACCAACAGTGCTTGAACCTACCTTTGCCCCCTCCCTTCGTCTATCACATTTGGTGCAAATATTTTTCCTGTTTGATAGTTTTATATAATTGAGTCAGTGGATTTTTTTCTCCTTTGTGACTTCTTCTATTACTTGTAAGCTTAAAAATGAGTCCTTCCCCCATCTCAAGACTATTCTATCGCATTTTCTCTTAGTGGGTTCATCTTCTACTCTTTACAGTTTAATACATAGAAATTTTATTTTCATGTGTAGTATAGGGTGAGGATCCTCCAATTTTAATTTTTTCCTACCTAGAACTGACTCAATGGCACTTAACAACAAACAACAACAATTACTTGGTTGATAACTACCCAAAATGTTGTAAGTTAATGTCCACCAGGAGGTACCTCAGAAGACAGCCTGATGATCTAGTTTCAAACAACCAACCATTAAAATCCTAGAAAGATCCAGAAGGTATGGAGAAAGGTAGACTCTCCACTGAGTAGTGTCCAATCTGTCTAGGTGGGGCTGATGAAAGGAGATGGGGATGGCACTCATGTGGCACAATACTGAATAACTGCTATCAGGACTGACTGTGAGGGTTGGAAATGTAAAGGTAGATGTTTTGTAACAAAAGGACGGGAGTGGTTGACTTTGCAGTCCAGGAATGGAGGTCCCTGGGACCATCAAGGAAGAAGAGCTCTTGTTTCTTTGCATATCTCCTATCTAGGTCTATACACTTCTAAAGGTGGTGGTGCTTCCACCTCTTTAATCCTTCCCCATCCCCAAATAAATCTGCATTGTTTGACTTACACCAAGTCAATAGGACAGTTTTGGTATCTACCAGGAACTCAAATTGTGTCTCTTTTTAATGTTCTTTGAGTTTGGGGAACAAAAAGAAGCCTTAAGGAGCAAGACCAGAGCTATACAGTAGATGGACTAAGGTTTCTCAACAAATTCTCATAGGACAACCTTTGCGAACGTTAAACAATGAGCATGGCCATGATGGAAAAAAACTCTTCAGCTCAACTTCCTTAGCTTTTATCTCACTAATGCTGTTTTCAATTTTCTTAACACTTATTCCCAATAAGTCCCATGATTGTCCTGTGTCCTTTCAGAAAATCGATCAAGATTACTCCCTCAAATCCCAAAAAACCATCATCACAGCCTTCCTCTGAGCTGGCCTCTCAACCTGGAATGTAACTGGTCCTCTACTTCTCCCAAGACAGATTTGGTTGTTCTTCTAGAAGTCCATGGTACTTTACATCAATTTTTCTTTAGTCTTCCTCATTCATGTCCAGCTTTCACAAACATATAGAGCAATTTAAAATAGCTTGGCTTGGGTCAGGCACAACTTAGTACTCAAGGTGACATCTTTACTATTGAACACTTTAAAGAGGTCTTTTGAAGCAGATTTGCCCAATGCAATACTTTGATTTCTTCACTGCTACTTCGATGAGAGTTGATTGTGGATCAACTGACAAATGGCAGTCTTGACATCTTCAAACTTTTATCCATTTATGTTGTCTATTGTTCCAGTTGCAAGGATATTTTTCTTTACACTGAGTTGGAATCCATACTGAAGGCTGTATTTCCTGATCCTCATAAGTGCATCAAGTCCTCTTTGCTTTCAGGAAGTAAGGTGGTGTCATCTGCATATCAAAGGTTGTTAATGAGCCTTCCTCCAATCCTGATGTTGTGTTCTTCATATTCTCTAGCTTCTAGGATTATCTATGCAGATTTGAATAAGCATGGTAAAAGGATGCAACACTGGCACAGACCTTTCCTGATTCCAAACCATCTAGCACTCCCTTGTTCTGTTCAAATGACTGCCTCCTGGTCTATTTAAGATTGCTAATGAGTTCAATCAAGGAATTCTCATCCTTTACCGGGTTATCAATGGTTTGTTATGATCCACTCAATCAAATGCCTTTGCATATTCAATAAAACACAAGTAAAAATCTTTCTGGAATTTTATGCTTTCAGCCAAGATCCATCTGGCATCAGCAATAATATACCTAGTTCCAAGTACTCTTCAGAAGTTGGCTTAAGATTCTGATGGTTCTCTGTTGATGTGCTGCTGCAATCAATTTTGAATTATCTTCAGCAAAACTTTACTTGCATGTGATATTAATGATATTGTTTGATAATTTCTGTATTCTGTAGGGTCATCTTTCCTTGGAATGGACACAGATATGGATCTCTTCCACTTGGTCAGCAAGATAGCTGTCTTCCAGATCTCTTGGTATAGACAAGGGACTGCTTCTAGTGCTGCAGCAGTTTGTTGAAACATTTCCATTGGTATTCGGTTAATTCCTGAAGCCCTGTTTTTTGCTAATGCCTTCAGTGCAGGTTGGACTACTTCTTTCAATACCATTAGTCCTTGATCATATTTTCCTGAAATTGTTGAACTTCAACCAATTCTTTTTAGTGACTCTGTGTATTCCTTCCATCTTCTTTTGATGCTTTCTGCATCATTCAAAATTCTATCCATAAAATCCTTCAGTATTATAACTTAATGCTTGAATTAATTCTTCAGTTCTTTCTGCTTGAAAAAGGCTGAGCATGTTCTTCCATTTCTGTTTCTAAGTCCAGGACTTCATACATTTCATTATAATATTTGACTCTGTCTTCTCCAACTGCCCTTTGAAATTTCTTTCATTTCCTTTAGCTAGTCTCTTCAGACATCCACTTTGGTCTTTTCTGTCCTATCTCAGGCCTCAAGGTCAGCGGTTCAAAACTACCAGCCATCCTGTGGGAGAAAGATGAGGATTTCTGCTCCCAAAAAGATTTACAGTCTTGGAAACCCTATACAAGGTCGCTATGAGTTGGAACCGACTCCACGGCACAGTACCACACCACCAGACTCAAGGGCATATTTTGGCTCTTGAGGACTTATTATAATTTTCTTCAGCTTCAACCTGAGCTTGCCTAGAGACAACCAATGGCCTTTTCCACAGTCAACCCTGGCCTTGTTTTAGCTGATGATACCGAACTTGTCCATTGTTTTTTCCTACAGAAGTACTCTATTCAATCCCTGTGTGTTCTGTCTGGCAAGGTCCACATGCATAGTCCTCATTTGTTGTTGATAAAAGGTATTTGCAGTGAAGAAGGTGTTGGTGTTGTAAAATTCTATCATGTAATCTCCAGCGTCATTTCTATCACCAAAGCCTTATTTTTCAAATACTGATCCTTTCTTTGTTTCCAACTTTTGTATTTCCATCAGCAGTAATTATCAAGGCATCTTGACTGCATGTCTGACCAATTTCAGATTGAATTCTTCAGTTTCTTTATCATTGACTTTAGTGGTTGGTGTGTAATTTTGAGTAATAATTGTAGTAGCTGGTCTTCTTTATAGGCATATAGATGTTATCCTAGCACAGATAACATTGTACTTCAAGATAGATCTTGAAATGTTCTTTTTGACAATGAATGTAACACCATTGCTCTTGAATTTGTCATTCCTGGCATAGTAAACCATATGACTGTCAAGCAGCAGTAAGAGATAAAAAAAAAAAAATAGACCCAATAAAAATGTTGTTGTTACTAAAGCTGTTGAGTTGATTCCGACTCATAGCAACTCTATGTAGGGTTTCTAAAACTTTAAATCTTTGCTGGAACAGAAAGCCTCATCTTTCTCCCACTGAGCAGCTAGTGGGCTTAAACTGCCAACCTTGTGGTTTGCAGTCCAGTGCTTATCCTATAGAGTTACCAAATACCCCTAATGCATAGTAAGCATCTTTTAACAAAAAAGAAAAGAAAAAGTATAATTGATCTTAATGCTTCTGAAAAAACAACAACATAAAATGCCAGATCCTGGCCTGTTTCCATCTTCTGGGTCCCTTTTTTCCTTATTTACTGCAGCTTTTCTGGCTCTCTCTGATGTCCAGAGCTGACCCACGTCCCTGGCTACCCACACATCTGGTGAGAAGGGTTTATCAAAACTCTTCTCCAGCAGCCTCAACGTACAAAAAAAAAAACATTTTTGTAATCAACTAGAATTTAGCCAAGAGAAGAAGTGTGTAATATTTCACATGGAATTTACATTAGGGAAAAAATCAAATTAGGAAAACAACAAAAAATTAGCAAAATATATACAAGTTTACAGAATGCTTATTGCTGATCCAGACTTAACAGCCCAGTCAGGATGGAGACGTGCTTGGCACAGTTCTGACGGTGCCTAATTCCCCATTCTTCTCCTCACCTCAACAATGTCTGTGGTTGATGGTAAACACAAGATCCTCAGGGGCTGAGCCAGGGGGGGATTTGTGTTGGTACCACACTCTCCAGGCCTGGTGAGGTCACCAGAACCTTTGCCAGATCCTCAATCCCTTCCACAAACTGCTGATCACAGTTTTCTTCAGGCATGCCGGCTCTCCCTACATCTTGCATTTCTTCAAACTCTAAGTCCTATAGAACTCTCACTAAAAGCCACGTACGTAGTCCAAACTCATCCCAGGGTTGGTGTGTCATGCTGGGCAGTGAGAAATCAAACGAAAAAATAGACCCAATAAAAGATTCCACCTACAATCTTCAGACCAGTTGCACAGACACCAGATAGGCTGCTGCCCAAAACTCTCCATAGAATTCTAACATTCCATGTTTCCTAGAATGCAAAGTCGTTTGAACCACAGGTCAGTGGTTCAAGCTCACCAGCTGGTCCTTGGAAACCTTATACAGGGTCGCTATGGGTCAGAACCGACTTCACAGCACTTAACAACAACAACAATATATCTACTGAGAGTGACCTTAACCTAGTCCTACCAGCTGCCATGAGCCTCAGAAGGTGGACACAGATAGTCTTTACGTGGAGCCTCTCCAATGGTTCATACCAACAGACCAGTGAGTATTAGAGCGTCCCCTCTATTGGGACACCCTGTGAGTTATTCTCACTGCCCATCAGAAGGAAGTCCACAATTCGTATTCAGTTAGAAAACAGACTCAACACACAGGTCCTGGGTTCAGCAAATGATTATGACTCTGCAGTTCAAGTTAATGACCTTTATTTGTCTAGGTTCTTTGGCAATAACCCACTTGGGTGCTCTTCCAAAACTGTCATCTGGAATTATATCATTACAGTTTTATATTATACTAAAGTTGTAGTAATATAACTTCAGTACACATGCTAAAAACTCTCTATGGTTCTGCATACACACCCTGTCTCAACCACAGTGGGCCCAATAATAAACACTAGGTAAGAAACAAATGTTTTCTTTGCGGATCCTCATTCTCCAGAATCCTTTTCTACATTAGAATCTTTGTATATTGTCCTTTCTGGGCTTCAAAAAAAAAAAAAAAGATTTTTAAAGAATCCTGCTTTTCTATGTATAATCCAAACCTTATATTTAACTCTTTCTTCCTTCCCTCAAACTACCCTATGTTTAACCATATTATTTTGAGTGTTTGTATCTCTTGTGTTATAATTATTAAATTTCATTTGTCCTGTGTCCTTTGAGAAAATCTATCAGGTAAATCAACATCTAATGCAGACCGTATGTTATTTCATTGACAATTTTCAACTTTTTATATAATTTTTATTATGAAAACATTCAAACATATACAAAAGTAGACAGACTAGTATAATAAGCCCAATGTTCCTTTTTATCATTTTTGAAAATTATCACTACACTGCCCGTTCAATTTCTCTGCTCCTCCAAAACTGGATTATTTAAAAGTTACCCCAGCTATTATAGTTTCACCTGTAAATACTGTGGTGCACATCTCTAAAAGATAAAGTTGCTGTGCATTTCTTATCATCAAACTAGCACTGCAGTCTGAAAAAACAAGAGCAGTGTTCAAATTTTCTTATGTCTCAATTTCCTTTAATAATTTTGATGACTTATCTGAGGCTTAGAGAATTAGTAACTTTCCAAGCCATATATTCATTACAGAGCAGTAAAGCATCAACCTTCTCATTTAAAGCTTCAATTCTCTTTCTGTATAGCAGAGCTATCTTTTTGGAATCTTAAAAAAGGCTCAGGTATTTGTTTTTCCTTATCCTTTCAGAAGTGATTTTTTCTCCCTTGGGTCCTTAAACACCAGTTGACTAACATAAAAGTGCTTCAACGGTTCAGTAGCCAAGGTTGTGGTTGTTAGTTGCTGCCAAGTTAGTTCCAACTCCTGGCGAGCCGAACTGTGCAAAGTAGGACCAGTCCACTGGGTTTTCACGACTATGACCTCTTGAAAGCAGACTGGCAGGCTTGTCTCCCAAGGCATCTGGGGGTGAGGTTGAACCATCATCCTTTTCAGCTGGTAGTTGAATGCACCATCTGGGGTAGACTGATAGTATATTACCCACTCACTGCTCAATAAACACACCAAGCAGATAATAGAATTAGAATCCCAGGAAATGACCATGTATGGTTTCCTTTGTGATATAGTATCTATATTATTCATACTGACGCCTCCTCACAGGACACCATTGTTGTAATAAAATGATGATGATGATGATAATGACCAGAGACAAGGATCGTCCTCTCTGGATGAATGGAGCATTCCTGAAATGTTTACAAACACCTTTGAATTTCTTAGGAGGAAAAAAACGATATTATCATCAAATGACACAGCTCAATCCGGAAAAGGTAAATGGGTAGTAAGACTAAATCCTTACACAGCTGCATTCCAATACCTGATATCAAAATGTGAGACCAGAAAAAAAAAAAAATTAACCTTTAAACTGTTACCCTCACAATCACTTACAATTTTCCTATGTGTTTTAAAAAGCAGACGTAAAATGTAAAGGATCTCTTTCTTAAGCCTTCAGTAAATATACTTTTTTGGACTGTTTCAAAACTACAACAATGAAATTAAGAGCTGTCTGAAAATAATCTTTAAAAGGTACAGAATACAAATTAAACAAGAAATAAAATAGATTCCTTTATACTGACCTTCACAAATATTGTTCTTAGCTCAGCTGGATCTGCTCTCTTGGTTAAAGCCACCTACAAATCAACATAAAAATGTTTATAGTTTTAGAACAAAGCTAAGAAATCAAATCAGCACACTAAAAGAAAATAAAATTCCAAGTTAGAAATTAGTGGGTTTCATTTTTGTACTTAATGCACCAAATTTCCCCAGTGCATATACTACTCCTTGGATCTGAAATCCGACTCTTTATGTGGTTTCTAGAATGATAATATTCTGTACAAGAAACTGGTAGTGAAGGTTCCTAATATCTACTGTTTAATGTATATCATTAAAATTAGAAGGAAGAAGGGGAAAAGAAAGAAAAGTTGAAACAGATTCGTGACTACCTGGTGATTTTTAAATACATTCTAGAGTGACCCATTCACAAGGGGATATTAAATAAAACAGTACAGCTTATTTATTAACTATGCAAGAGAACAAAGTTTTTAAAAGAATTCAGAACATAGTTTTTAACGGATTCAACGAACTAGGCAAGTCATGTTAGCAAACAGAAGGCAATTGCCTTGAACAGGCATCTACACCTAGTTACTTGGCTGTGGCAAAGAAGTTTTCTCTATCCTCCTCCCCTCTCCAAACTTTTAATCCAATAAATCAAAAGTCTCTACAGGTCTGACTATCATTCTTCACATTCTAGATACACAAGGGGTTGTGGTTAACCTTCCAACAGCAAAATTTGACAGATTAGCTCAGAATAGGTGTTGTGCTTAATTCTCCAAGCCACAAAGTCCAAAAACATCACTGGGGAAAAGGCAAGACAAACTTGAACATGGCTGCCCCTAGTCAACACAAAAGGGCCCTTATGTGCAACCAAACAGTGGGCTTATTCAGCGACACATCACCCAATCCTACTGGCAAAAATCATCATGAGGCTGAATTCTCACCAAATACAGCGTCACCTCATGATACAGCCAAGGAGGGGTTCCTGGAACCACCCCAACACTAAAGCCAGGTCGCTATCCAAGGGGAGATTTATGCAAATTGTTCTAAATCCCTTCTGTGTGTTTGCAAAGACTTTTCTGAGATCTTTGGACAATGGGTTCTCTGTCTCTTAAGTATGTAACTGCCTGAGTTCCTTGGCCCACCACATCAGGAATAATTTTATTTACTAATCACTGGAATGGGAGAGGTGGTCTTTCTGGAAGCCATTGGTAGGTCGGCTTCTTCCTCAAAGCTAGACTGATAACACTTTAAATATTACCTAAGTAATTGCAACCACCAATGCTATTTTTCACTCATATCAAATCTTAATCTCCTTAAAATTCTGACTTATTTAGTGTTCTTTACTGAGATTGCTAACAACCTATGACTGACAGTACCAATTATCTGTTAAGAAAGGAGTCCCTCTGTAGTGTATTCTGTGAAAGGCATGGTGGAAAGAATACTGCTGGTGAAGATGGGGGCAGCGTGAAAATCTACGTGATGATCTTCTTAAAGAGCAGGGCTAATTCATCCCTCATGGTAAGAGTAAGAGTTGCCCATTTCATGACAGTCCATAAGTAACACTTCCTTAAAAGGTAGAGGTTGGCCTTAGGTTCTTAGTTGGGTTGTCTTTTAAAAGCAAAGGGAAATTTCTACAATGTGATCTCTCAGGAGCACCTCTGCAGTACCCTGAATTTACTTGATACGGCTTTTCTAGTCAATGTCTTAATTTCCACCAAGTGATTAAATTATACAGGACTGTTAAGCTGGCATTGGGTAGTTTTGCCACCCAGTTAGACATAAAAGGTACCATCTCAGATACAGGAAAAGAAGATCCTAGTAACATCAGGAAGGAAGAGGATGAGTGGAGTGTGAGAATCCTACCTAGAAAAGTGGCGACAGCAGAGGCGATGGCCTGGAGAGAAAGAGAGAGAGAAAGATGGCAAAGAGAGAGAGAGAGAGAGAGAGAGGGGCAGAGGCCAAGGGGCTACATAGCTGAGAAACCAAAGACGAGAGTGAGGCATGTCTTCAGTGTGGCAGAGAAGAGGCATTCCTGACTGGAGAACTATTGCATCCTGAGTTGTTTGTTGATCCTGTTCGCTTCCCTAACAAACCCCATAATCATGAGTATTGTTATGAGTTCTATGAGGCCATTGCAATGGATTATTGAACCCAGAGGTGAAGCAGCCAGTGCTGTGGGAAGAACGGTTGGTGTCAGAAAAGGGTAAAGAAGGTTGTAGGGTGGAAGCATGTCTGACCTCCGCTTCATAGGAATCAATCTTGGGTTGATTTTGAGTTTAATTCTATTTCCCAAATGTGAAGCCAGTGGAAATCAAACATGTCTCCCAAAGGTTTTTGCAACATTCTTTAAAAGTTAACTAATTCACTATGCCATGGCCCTCCCTGGGAAATGCTAATTCACTATGCCAAGAGAAAGATACCAGGGCTTTACTTCTTAACTCACAGTTCTAGGGCAAAAGTGACCACACACACACACATAAACAACAACAAAACCCACAGTGACACAAAGATAATAGGACATTCAAGAAACAATACTTAACAAACCAAGTCACCTAATCTAACAAGTACCATTCATCTGTCATTTTGTCTTACTGTGGTGGCTTGCTTGCATGTTACTGTGATGCTGAAAGCTATGCCACCAGTGTTTTAAATACCAGCAAGGTCACCCATGGTAGACAGGTTTCAGCTGAGCTTCCAGACTAAGACAGACCAGGAAGAAGAAGAAGTAAACTACTTCTGAATGTTTCGCCGCTGAAAATCTTATGAATAGCAGTGGAACACTATCAGTACCAGAATAATGAATATTGACATATTTGAGCATTAAGGTGTGTCTAACCCAAGCCATGATATTTTCAGTAGCCTAATATGCATGTAAGGAGCTTTGGTAGCATAGTGGTTACAAATCGGGCTATGAACTGCAAGGTCAGCAGTTCGAAACTACCAGCAGTTCCAAGGAAGAAAGATGAGGCTTTCTGCTCCTGTAAAGATTTACAGCCTCGGAAACCCTATGCAGGGTCGCTATGAGTTGGAACCGGCTCCACGGCACTTAACAACAACAACAATATGCATGTGAAAGTTTGACAATAAATAAGGAAGACTATAGAAGAATTGATGCATTTGAGTCATGATTTTGGAGAAGAATATTAAAAGTACCATGGATTGCTAGAAGAACAAACAAATCTGTTTTGGAAGATACAGCCAGAATGAACTTTGGAAGCCAGGATGGACAAAATTCACCTCTCATACTTTGGATATATATTATCAGGAGGGACCAGTACTTGGGGAAGAGCATCATGCTTGGTAAAGTAGAAAGTCAGCAAAAAAGGGAAAGACAACCCTACGAAATAGACTGGCGCAGTGGTAGAAGCACTAGACTCAAGCATAATGACAATTGTGAGGATGGTGCAAGACCGAGCAGAGTCTTGTTCTATTGTGTATAAGGTTACAATCAGTTGGAACTGACTCAACAACACTTAACAACAACAACATGCACAGAATACGTCATAGTTTTCTAAGCAAATCTATTATCTTACTGGATTCTTATAGCAAATCCAAGAGTTAGGTAGGGTATTTTACAGAAGGGAAAAATCAAAGCTCAGAAAGGATCAATTATTTCCCCAAAAGTTTCCCTAAGTGCCAGTTTGAGCTTAAATGTCTAAGTGTTGTCAGAGCTGGAGTCAGACCCCAAATTATCCATCACCTATTTGATGCTTTCTTCATTATGCAACAGATAGCATCTGACTGGAGTGGAGAGCTGACCTGACATCTAAATCTACTGACTGTATGACTTTAAGCAAGTTCTCCTTCTTCTCAGTCTGAACAGAGGGAAGGGTGAAATGAATTCATTATATAAAGTGCTTAATTAAAAAACGGGCCAACACGAAAGCTCTTAGAGCAAATGGTATCTGCATTTGAGCTACATAGTACTGGCACAGAATACGGAAACTACCATGGGCTGCCAGAAGAGCAAACAAATCTGTGTTGGAAGAAGAGCCGTCAGAATACGCCTTAGAAGCAAGACTGGTGAGACTTTGCTCCCGTACTTTGGACACGTTATCAGAGAGGACTGGTCCCTGAAGAAGGACTTAATAAAGTCGAGGATCAGGGGAAAAGAGGTAGATCCTCAAAGAGAATGAATGGCATGGTATCAACAATGGACTCAAACACAGGAACAACTTTGAGGATGGTGCAGGATTAGGTAGTACCTGTGAGCTGACAATTAAAAACAATAACAACATTATTGTCTGTATTATTTATCTAAAGATGTTCATTTTCTTTCATGTACATTCTGAAATAAATTTAAGTGATTAGGGTAACCTGGCTTATAACAGGAGGAGAGAAACTGAGAAGGAAGGGGGCGAAGAGAGGGAGAAAAAGAGAGATAAAGGTGCGGGGCAGTTAATTATTACAGCCGTTCTAGCTATGTTGTTCCATTCTGTGGTGTATTATAAATCCTACTCTCTATACCTGTAATTGTGGACCCATTGTGAAGTGAGCTCTTAATGAGGCAGGATTAAGGTAGGAATAGGAGTCCTGGTGTGGTACTTCAAGATAAACACTGGACCACAAGGTCAGCTTGAACCACAAGGACAGTGATTCAAACTCATCAGAACTCCTCAGAAACCCTATACAGGGTTGATATGCATCGTGGTAGCGTAGTGATTACGAATTAGGCTGCTAATCTCAAGGTCAGCAGTTCGAAACTACCAGCTAGTCTGCGGAAGAAAAATAAGGCTTTCTGCTCCCATAAAGATTTACAGCCTCAAAAGCCCTATGCAGGGTCACTAAGAATAGGAACTGACTCCACGGCACATAATAACAACAACAAAGTGGAACTAAGGAGTAAGGATTAATGTGGGAATGAGAAGTACACAGTCTACTTTACTCTATCAGCTTGTCATACTGTGGCTGTTTATGTGTTGCTGTGAGCCTGTAAACTATGCCACTGGAATTTTACATGCCAGCAGGGTCACTCATGGTAGGCAGGTTACAGTGGAGCTTCCAAACTAAAATTACACAGAACAAGTGGATGACTTCTGAATGGTTAGCCACTAAAAACCTTATGAATAGCACT